TAAGAATGGTCTTATACACAATCCTCTATCAAGTATTCTAAAAAATTGGCACCAAGATAAACATTTTCAAAAGAGAAACTACAATATGGAATTGGAAAGAAAGCAATGATGACACCAACACTGAATCCATCATAAAAATAAAAGACATATAATTAGTAAATACTAAAATCTTCAGATGCTTTGGAATCATTCTGTGTCAAATCAACAAGGGTCGGATCATCACTGACACAAATTTGGTATACTTATGGAGCTTCATGATGCAAACTGAATGGTACATCTCTAGGTCAAAGGTTTCTCAAGATATGACTCTTTGACCCTTGCCAAAACAGTGAATTTTGGAAAATAGTTACAAAGTTTAAATATCAATATCTCAGTTGTTTTTTCACCCACAAATTATATACCATTTTAAAGTAGTTGAATAGATCTAAAAGGTGATCTCTTTATTTTTTTGTTTAAAGGTCAAATAAGATGTGACCTTAACATTTAACCTTTAATTTATAAAATAACTGTTCTTTAATTTTTTTTTCTTAATTTGAAAACAAATTTATCTGTTTTATGGCAAGGTATGTACAAAATTTTGTGCTATATGTTTGACTGTGACCAGAGTTACAAGGGTTTTAGTGATTTGGGCCAAATTCAAAATGGCAGATTTTGGTATTTCCCACTATATGCTAACATTTTCATATCTCCCAATATGGTCAAGTTGTATATCTTTAGAAAGATCTTTGAATGCTGATTAATAGTCACATAGCAACTATAATCATAAACTCAACAGAATTTGTGTTATTTGTGGTTAAATGCTGACCAATTTGGTGGAAAATAAACAACCTTATTTTTGAATTCGTTTCATTTTTATTATACAGCAAACAGATTTTTATATGAAAAACTGACATAATGAAAATATTTAAAATATTAAATAAGGTTAATATTAAATAAGGGTTAATAAGGCATAGAAAATGAATGAATCAATCATACTGCAATTAATGAGCTGAAAAAGAAAAAAAAAAACCTCTCTCAGAAGGATTTTAAGCTAGTCCCTGTAGAAGACCTAAATGGGACCATTAGCTTTAATGAATTTATTGATACATACCTTATCTGAAAATTATCACCATCGTGAACTCTTAGATGGATCAGAGGATAAATATCTTTTCACAAGAGATTTTAAGTACCCACAATTTTTTTTTTTTTGCTGTGTCCAAAAATAATCATTTTTTTTTTCTGTATTCCTATGACACTCCAGACCACAAAAAAAAGGAGAGAGGGGGGGGGAGAAAAGAGGAAAGAAAGGAAAAGGGTGGAAAGGAAAAGAGAGGGGGAAGAGGGAGAGGGGGAAAAGAGGCAAGAAAGGAAAAGAGAGGGAGAGATGAAAGAGAGAGAGAGATGAAAGAGAGAGAGAGATGAAAGAGAGAGAGAGATGAAAGAGAGAGAGATGAAAGAGAGAGAGATGAAAGAGGAAAGGAAAGAAAAGGGAGGCAAGAAAGGAAAAGAGAGGGAGAGATGAAAGAGAGGGAGATGAAAGAGAGAGATGAGAAGAAAGAAAGAGAAGAGAGAGAGAGAGAGAGAGAGAGAGAGAGAGAGAGAAAAAAAGAAACTTTTATTAAATATAAAGATTAATGTGTGGTATTTCTAGTTTGCAATATGACATTGTAAATTAATCCTCTACAGTAAATCAAAACAAAAAATGTTTATACCAACAGGTGATCTCTTAAAATTTCTTTAATTTAAATTCATAATCTGATAAGCTTTTTTTTCATGTATTACTTATTTAATCAATAAGTATTCAAGATTACGAGATTTAAAAACATTTTTTTTTAATTTTAAGAAATCATGTAGCAAGTGCATATTTTGTTGCTAATATGGGTGGGGGGAGGAATCAATTTAAAATGAATTTGCATTGTAAACTGAACCTCCCTAATAACAAACTAGTTTTAACCTATAAAAATTTCAGTTTTCCTACTTTTCCTTTCTCTCTTTTTCCTTTTTTTTGTGTTCTGGAGTGTCATAGTAATACAGAAAAAAAATGATTATTTCTGGTCACAGCAAAAAAATAAAAAAAATTGTGGGGACTTAAAATCTCTTGTGAAAAGATATTTATCATCTGATCCATCAACTTTCTGATGACTCTTAATTCATCAATGTTTGAATAAGCTCATGGCAAGTTCTAGGACAATAAAATATCCATATAAATTTTCACATTGTTAAATATTTGAGCTGAACAATTTTAACAAAATATTGCAATAACAATCATAAATATGAATGCTGGTTGTTATTTGAAGAAGAAATTAAAAAGTACAAATTAAAAGATTTGAAATTGACAACTTTTTTCCATTTCACTGAATTAAACAAACATTAAATACTTTTAATAATTTTCTCTTGTCTTCCTTTTTTATTTTTTTTCACTGAAACCAAGTAGTGTCTCTATTTTTTTTTTTTTGCCTTCCCAAAGTCAAAATGGAATAATTCATTATTTGAGGTATTGGCAGAACGCAAGAGTCATGTGAACTAACAAAAGGTAAGACAAGCACAATTATTATATGATAATATTCATAGTCTAGAGGGCTTAATCTATAATTGTATAAAAAAAAGTCTTGAAAAAAAAAAAAAAAAAAATTCTCTACCTTTTTATGTTTTTTACTGTGGCAATAAACAGTCACAATACTAAAGTATGCTATTGATAAGGACTGAACATTAAACATTATCAATAACTTAATGTTTGTAGACTGCTTGTAGTGACTATTACTCGTACTACAAAAGTAAACAATTTTTTTTTTTTTTAAATCTTTATTTTCCATTGATCAGATTTTGATTTTTCCATTTATTCTGGATAGAGAAGTTTCAATTACCCTGTATGTCTACCTAATATGATTAAACAAAATTTGGTTTTGCTTACCGGATGAATACAAAATAAGGGTTCAGCTAAGCATTATGCTTGTTATAAATTGAAACCTAAAACCTTTAAATGTTTGAGATTTTTCAAAAACTTTTGTGTTACAAACATGCCTCAAGATCTTATTGTTACCGCAGAATATTTGGTAGCCCTATCTCTAGTCATTTTTGAGTTACATGACAAACGTTTGGACAGAAAAATGGTTTGTTGAAATTATAGAAGGATGTGACAACCACAAATAGGTCAAATGTTTAAATACCCCCAAACAAGAGCAGTAGGAAGTTTATTTATTTAAAGTCTAAGTGTCGATTCCAGTTGTACTGAGAAAGAATGCAAAACACTTCCCCCCTCCTGTCTACAGGTTATGAGCCCAGCACACTACAACTGCCCAGCACAACTTTCTTTTGTAGATCGAAGTAATGGTTGCTGGATCTTAATGTAATCTCTCATCCATATTGCTGAGTCACTGGTAATATATTTTTTTCTTTCCCGGCTTTTTTAGTTGTTGTGGATATATCTTTTGTTCTAGATTTAGAATGTAATTTTAAATGTAAGTTTTAAAACCATAGTAAAATCTCAACACCATATATATATATAACATAATATTATCATACCTCTTATTAGTAAATAAATTATATGGGATGAGGAGTTATTATCATTATTTATATGCAGACTATTGTCCTTATCTTTGTTGTTGCTATCACAGCACTTCGGTCAATGTGCCCTCTGACTTTCATCAGGTACTTGCTGATCCACATAACCTCCAGGAAATTATGAATTGAAATCTTTATTTAAACTATGAGGGCAAATTGTTCTCATTCCACTGTCCATGTCTCAGGATATTTCATCTAGCTCTTCTTTTAGTACAGATCAGTTATTGCTTGCCCAGTGTCACCAAGTTTCAGACTGTACTTCCTGGGGTCCAGGCATTGAATTCACAATTGCTATATCACTGGAACAAGAACACTATACCTACAGATTAACCTTTACCATACAGGAGGCGAAAATTGTTGCCATAGAATTCTCTCCCTTTGCTGCTCTAGGCACATTCTGTCACATTGAGATGGTTGCTATAAATAAACACTTATAAACTGTTATTTCTGGTATTTTAAGCTGCAAATCACCTATTAATGCTTTGGAACAAGGTTAAACTTCCGTTTTCCAATGCCATTTTGAATTCTTCTAGACTCTATATGAGGTGTAAAATCGATTAAACCCATGTTAATTTTTTCATGATATTTTGTCAACAAAAATGGCTGCATCAACATCCAACAAAGCCTTTATTCAGGAGTTTTTCTTTGATTCAGACTCCAATGATGATTTTGAAGGCTTTACTCAAGTGGATACTGACGGTGAAGTGATTGGAGATGATAACCATGTTAGTGATGTGGAGGAAAGCAATGATAACCACTAGTGGCTACTATCATCCATGCCTGACTAATTTTATGGAAGCTACTGGTAACCATCAATATACCTGATAGACAAAATAATGCACCTTCAGAAAGGCTATTTATAAACGACAAAATAACTATTTGTCAATAAGAACATGTCAACAAATCAAATATGATAGTCAAATGAAAGAAAGTGCAAACAGATGCTGGTGTCTTCTTATATGTAAACAGAGGAAACCAAGTTACTTTTTTGACAAAATAAAAGCCTTTTTAGTGATTTTGCTTCATATTGCACCCTCAGAAATCCACAAAGAGTAATAAAAGTTCAAATATGTTGAATTGTTCATGTATTTTTTAATGTATTTGTTTCTTATTTTTTGTTTTTATTTTGCATTTCAATTTCTTTTTGTTTTCAACATCATAACATGCATGCAAAATGTAATGCATTACTCAAAATATTACTCATTCAGTCTTTTATTAGTGTACAAAACAAAGTTATAACAATTTTAAAACAGTAGGGGTTGATGTTTTGGCACCCTCAAAAAAAAAAAAAAAAAAAAAAAAAAATGCATTGGCAGGGAGAACAATTTTAGAAAGAAATTAGTGTGTTAAAGGTTAAATAACAGTTTCAGTTCAAAACTCTCTGATGTTTAACTGGATCAACAAACATCTGATGAAGAACATAAGGCACAATGGTCGAAACATTGCGATAATAACAAAACAACAAGATGAGTGCAATAATCTGAATGCAAATAATATATACAATAGAACATACCATTGTAGTAGACAGTGTCACTCATCACCCATCATTGATCACTGCATACCAATCCAATGTATCCAATCTGTTAATGCTAGTCTATTTATGCAATTGCAAAGCTGTTACCCACATTTTTTTTTTAAATTTTACCATAGAGGTTTTTTACTCTAGGTGACTACAGTTTTGTCTGCCTAATCTGTGTAATAATTTCCTAGTGGATTAAAGTAATAGTTCGTGAATTTGTGAGTTCACTCCCTGGGCTGGTCAGTGTGTACTTAGACTCAGTGGAAATGGAAGTAACAATAACTGAGCAGTGAGACATCGCTAGACATTGTCAGTGAAAAGAGAACAATCTAGGCAATGTGTACTTGGACTTGGTACAAACATGGTAAGCAATAATTGAGTAGAACTAGGTGAGACATCCCTAGACATTAGAAGTGGAATGAAAACCATCTACTCCTGTAGATTAAACAATGAGTTCAGTTTGAAATTCCGTGAAAGCTAGAAGGTACAATGGCCAAAACATTGTGATAACAAAGATGAGGACAATAAGCTGCATGTCAATAGTGTAAACAAACTATATGATTTTGCTTCGTAATAATCAATTTGTGCTTGCCTATTCTGGAGAAGTCTAGTATTATCACAAAATGATTGATTTGAAAAAATGATTTATGGATTAAGATCTTTTTGAGAAAAATTTACAATAATAAGAAAGCTGAATAATGAGGTTTTATACAGAACTAGTATAGTTTCATAACAATAATAGAGTATTCAAGTGTTTTTATTTAATATAAAACATTATTCATTATTAGGACATTATTTACATTACTTGGACTATTGTCCTCATCTTTGTCACCATATTTATTACAAAGCTTTGGCCGTTGTATGCTCCGGCCTTCTTCAGGTGGTTGGAATGTTGAACTTAATCCTTTATTTCGCTCACTGGGGGAGACTGTTCTAGTTACATGTTCCATGTTTAATGGATGTCAGTTATCTCTTGTTAATTTCCCTCTGAAAGTTCTCCACTGCCTTAACCGGGTATTGAACTCACACTCTTTGGGTCCTGTCACTGAATCTAACCAATGCCTTTATCCACTGTGCCATGTGTCCTTGAGAACACATGTAATAAATATGGTGACAAAGATGAGGACAATAGTCCAAATAATGTAAATAATGTACATAATACCTCATCTCAGAAATATAGACAGATACTCATTATTAGGAGTCATGCTTTAAATATTCTGGAAACAAGCTCAGAATCAACTTTCAATGTTTTCCTAACCTCAACGGCAAAAAAACAAGAAACATGTGAAAGAATTCAAACTTCCAACAGTGGCAATATCCCAGTCTGTCACTACAACTGATATACAATTTCTCAGCCAATATGCACATTATATATATATATATATATATATATATATATATATATATATATATATATATATGGATGGATGGATGGATATCAAAAACAACTGATAATTTGTGTTAATAATTTTAATGATCAACTTTTCCAAGATACAAATAATTCTTCTCAGACAAGGAAGATATTCCTGTCAGAAATTGCCCAAAGTTCATTTTGGAAGAAAAGTACAAGAAATATGGTCTAAGCTTCGACCATCTTAAGTCATCATCTGGGTAGGTAGAGACGATTGGCAAGTTTAGCAAAATTTTAAAATGGTGTAACAATGCTATTTTTTTAAATAAGCTATTAAAAGTACATGATAGAACATGCTGCACATTTAGGAATCTAAAGTCATAGAGCTAAAAAGTGTTGCGGTGTAAGCAAAGAGTGTTATAAAATAAACGAGGTGTGACTTTTTATATATATATATATATATATATATATATATATATATATATATTTAAGGGTTTGGGCTCTTAAATTATAAATGTTTTTATTTATTGATGGTTGTTTTTGTTGAATGAATAGAATAATAAGTCTTTTTACTATTTGATTTTGGTATTGTTTGTGAGTAAGTGTCTAATGTTGTTATGTTCCTTATGCTGCTTATTAATGTTTCTGATAGTACTATGGTCCAATAGGTGGCAGGTGAGTTGCCGTGATAGTGTAGTTGTGGTATAGCCTATGTAAGACATTTTGTGTTTTTTATTTGCAGAGAAACATCTCCGAGTGAGCAAGTATATTCATACATAACATTGGTCTTATATAGGGGTTGGTAGTTCCAGATATACTATTTTTAATAACTAAGTTGTTAGTTTTTAATGTTTTGTAGTAAATAATAGATGAAATATATTTATTTTTATTAATTGGTCTTATATACTGTTGACGTTCAGTGTGTTCCTACCACGTTTCAGTAGACACCGGTACTTACACCGCTCACTCTAGCGGTAGGTTCGAAGCTAGCATCCAGCTTCCAGACAAAAATAAACATAATCATAACTTAATATGAAACTCTATAACAGTACACGTCACCATGGTCCCAGCTTCACCCCCAGCCAATGTCCCAGACCATTTTTATTGACCAAAAACACGGCCAACGTACCAATCATCGCCGTTGGCCTCATTCTCAATCAGAGTCCCCAACTTGACCAATCAGCATGCAGACCACCACTAGACAAATCGTGCCAAGCAGCATAAAATAAACAAATGTCGGAGAATGTACTTTTCTTGGACCAAACTTGCGAGAGGAAAGGTACAGCTGACAAAATGATGAACTGTCTAGCTTGGGTTTATGCACATATCCATCATAAAACAGCAGCCCGACAAGCAAAAAATCTTGGACGCTTCAACTTCGGTAATTATATATATATATATATATATATATATATATATATATACACACACACGTTTCATTAAAGACAACAGACAAGGTATTGCGATTAAGCTTTTCATTTAATTTTTCTTGTGTTTGAACAAGTGTTTTCTTTTCTAAACACCGAGTGTGGAGAAACTATCCAAATGCTTCATGATTCCGAGCGCTTTTGGATATACTTTTAGCCATTATCAAGGATGATTTTATTTTTACTTTTTAACTGGGTGTAAAAAATACAAACATAATAATAACCTCATCCACATGTAAAAAAAGATTAAAAATAATGGAAGCCTTAATAATGAAAAATAAAAAAGCCAACGCTTAATAATATTACCGACAAACATGACCACAATGTGCTGTGTTTGGAAAATAAACACATCTCTATAACTCTAAAAACATACACACAATCCACACGCCCAGTCTTAGTAATTAACCTATTGCTGAGGGGAGTACAGATGGATCCATACAATTTGCAAAGGTGGATCCGTACAATTTGTGTGTAAGTAAATGTAACAAACTCAGCTGGAATTAGAACTCGGCTCTCCGTTTAACAATTTCATGCCATTATCCATTACATATCTCACACATCCAAACTTACAGCACCTTATATTCCCAACCAGTCACCTATCTAGGTACTGACCAGTCTCAACATTGCTTAACTTCAGCGATCATACGAGAACTGGTGTTTCAGTGTGATGTTGCCATAAACCCATTTAAATTAGATTTTTGGTGTCAATAAATGATTGTGATGGGGTCAAATGCTCTCCCACCCCCAGAATCTGATTTGCGGTTATTGTGATACTGGTAAATTTTTTTTTTACATAATATTATTTAAATTCTCTAAGTTATGTTTTTAACTAATATAAACATTAATTGGCACAAAATTTAAGTTCTCAAAATTTCTTAAAATTATGTTAGTGGGTGGTAATAGATTTAAAAAAAAAAAAAAAAAAAAAAAAATGGTTTTACGAAGATTTCCTAAAAAACGAACATATCTAATTTCATTCATTTGTGAACAAGTTCTGAAAGTTTCATTAAAATCTGACAGTTATTAGATTTTTGAAAGAATTCCCAAGTCAATATGTTTTTCACCACAAAAATGATGCTAAAAATTCCTATGGCTGACAAAAAAAAAAAAAAAAATGAAAAATTTTTTAACCAACATTTCAAACATTTTAAAGAAGAGAAATTATATAATAATAAAAAATCCTTTGATCTTTCCTCTTAACAATAACAAAAATTTTGATAATAAAACTGTTTTTATTAAGTTTGGGACATTTTTTCTTCATGGTATGCTCATTTTTGTAGCGAGTCTGTGGAGGTCTCTACCATAAACCCATTTGACGACAAAGCCAATGAAAACCCTTCTTAAGAAATATATTTGACTTTTGCAGCATTTGTAAAAATGAAATGAATTAACCAAAAACATTTCAAGCTGTCAGTCAATGAGATGTTTTATTAATTCAAGCTTTTCTTTCAGCATCTCATGATTCAAACTTTGAAGACATTTAGATTAAGTTTCTTTCAGAAATGTCATTATTAAACACTTATAAGTTATATGCCTGTCTTTATTTTACTCCTTTTTTCAAATATTTGCAAAGTCGTTTTAATTTAACAGATTTTGAACATTATCAGAAAATAAGAGTGATAACTATAGCAAATTTAAAATTTATTAGTAATTTTCTAACATTTTCTCAACAAGTGTCTTCATAAGTAAAGCTATAAAACTAAAGTACCTAAAATTCAATAAAATATTAGATTACTTAGAATATTTTCTTAAAATTTTAACATTACTTACATTAAAAAGTTATATAAAAAAATGTATGCTTGTTGTATTTAAGTAATTTTTGCAGTTACTTAAATTTCTCAAATATGAAGCTAAAAAAAAGTAAATGTTTCAATCCAGACTAATTAAACTTTAAGACAGTTCATTTTCCTTAATGATTCAGAAGAGTATACTTTATTTTTGAAAGATTTTTTTTTAATAAAGAGATAGATTTGTCAATATGGATGATTTTATAGATTTTATTGATAATCAATAATAATAAAAAAAAAAGAATTATTGCAATCAACTTAAATTAGTTTTGAAAGTATTTTGCTTATTGGTAGGTCGGAATTAAAACTAAAATAAAAGCTTCAAGAAAGATTTTTCAGTTTTTGTATTTTACGGCTTAGGTATCATTTTTTTCCTAAGGGAAAAAAAAAAAAAAAAAAAAAAAAAAAAAAATATATATATATATATATATATATATATATATATATATATATATTGATTTAAAGAAAATGAATTTCTTTTTGTATGACCATTTTTTTTTTTTTGCAGGACCTAGGTATTTTTCGCCAACGCTTCATCAGGGTCTTTCGTTGGCAAATGATTTTAAACAAACAATGAAAATGAAAAGAACGCCAAAATGGTATGGTTGAACACGTCTAAAATTTTACGAAGATATATATATACGTAAAATTAAAATAAATTTACGATTAAAATAAATGCGTAAATAATGAATTAATAATAATGAACCAACCTGAGCAGTAAAATAGAAAAATAAGTTGCTCATATATCAAAAAATAAATTTAGCGATCGTGAAAAATTCTCCTTTTGTTTAGAAAGCGATGGTTTAAATAATTTGAGGCAGATGGCTTCCAAAATAGACAGATGATATTTGGACCTGCCTACGCATATAATTGAAAACGAGTCCATTGTGAAATGTTTTGAGCATGACTCATTTTCTAATAGGTGTTGCCCGATCGCCGAATCGTGAGCTGATTGCGAAACACAAATGCGATTATCTAAATTTAATTTAATGTGTCTGGGTACATGTCCGATTCTTGTTTCCAAATGAAGACATGTTCGCCCTATATATTCAGCTTCGCACTGACATTTAAATTTATATATAATCGAACTTTTAGGGCAAACGATCCTTGGAAAAAGACGGAAAAACAGTACGAGTACCAAAGACAACACGTATCTTGGCCGAAAAGAAGGTAGCAGAAACAACATCCGAAACTTTATCAGTCAAAAGTTTACATTTTCTGCCTAGCCAAGGTAATTTCAGATAAATAGGGCAAAGACCTGGGCCAAATTTTGGGGGCATATTGAAATTCTCTATTTTCCGCTTTGATTGTGCGGTCAACAATGTTGGCTGGAAAACCATTGTTGATGAGAATGTCTCGAATTTTGTTCAACTCTTGTTGAAGTGTGCTAGAGGAACAAATTAATAAAGCCCTATGAACTAAGGTCTTAACCAGATTTATTTTTCTGGTATGGGGACAAATGAGTTCCAATTAGTGTAAAGACCTGAAAAGGTTTCTTTCAGAAACACACTAGTGATGAAAATATTATTCTTTCGTTCCACATGAACATCTAAAAAGGATATAGAATTATTCATTTCTTCGTCTATAGTGAAGACCAAAGACGGGTGCAAGGAATTTAACGCTTCACAAAAGAGAGTGGCTTCCTCTATGTTATTACATAGAGAAAAAGTATCATCAACATTCCTATTCCTGAGCCCTTATTCTTAGAGTTCCTAACATTAGTAACAGAAGGAATAGAGTTTAGCTTTGAAAATATTATGTACTCCCAAGTAGATGGCGTTTCTATGGGTAGTCATTTGGGTCCCTTTTTAGCCAACATCTTTGTTGCATATCATGAGAGCATTTTATTTGAGAAATATCAAAAACCTTACATCTATCAACGTTATGTTGATGATACTTTTTCTCTATTTAATAACATAGAGGAAGCCACTCTCTTTTGTGAAGCATACTGTTTTTCCGTCTTTTTCCAAGGATCGTTTGCCCTATCATAATAAAAGTTCGATTATATATAAATTTAAATGTCAGTGCGAAGCTGAATATATAGGGCGAACATGTCTTCATTTGGAAACAAGAATCGGACATGTACCCAGACACATTAAATTAAATTTAGATAATCGCATTTGTGTTTCGTAATCAGCTCACGATTCGGGCGATCAAGCAACACCTATTAGAAAATGAGTCATGCTCAAAACATTTCACAATGGACTCGTTTTCAATTATATGTAGGCAGGTCCAAATATCATCTGTCTATTTTGGAAGCCATCTGTCTCAAATTATTTAAACCATCGCTTTCTAAACAAAAGGAGAATTTTTCACGATCGCTAAATTTATTTTTTGATATATGAGCAACTTATTTTTCTATTTTACTGCTCAGGTTGGTTCATTATTATTAATTCATTATTTACGCATTTATTTTAATCGTAAATTTATTTTAATTTTACGTATATATATATCTTCGTAAAATTTTAGACGTGTTCCAACCATACCATTTTGGCGTTCTTTTCATTTTCATTGTTTGTTTAAAATCATTTGCCAACGAAAGACCCTGATGAAGCGTTGGCCGAAAGGTACCTAGGTCCTGCAAAAAAAAAAAAAAATGGTCATACAAAAGAAATTCATTTTCTTTAAATCATATTTGTTTTGTGGTATCAAAACATTATTCCTATATATATATATATATATATATATATATATATATATTAAACACACTAGACCACCCATAAACCTATTAGGTTCCTTTTAAAAACAGTTCATGATGCAAAATGATGAGGCAACAATATAATCAATTTTATTATTAATTACACATAAAAGTTATTGTAATGATTATTATTACTCACATTATACAATATAACCTAGATCAAATGCAATAATAAATTGTGAGAAAAATTTACTGCTTGACATTATTTTCTTAAAATTTTTTCTTCTTTTCTGGAAATTCAATGATAGTTGTTAAATTATCAGACAGACTTTCCAAAAGAACAGCTAATTTACAATCGCAGAATGACATAGGAGGTGGTCTATCATTGCACCAGGACAATAAAGGCCTTTCCATTCAAGTAATAGCAGCTGAGGACTGATAATTTATAGCAATTGATATAATGGAATATGCGTACACCCGTGTTCCCCTTCACTGGAATATGATTGGCTGGTGTCCGTCATAAATATCGACGGACGTGTAGGTCTGGGAGCTAAGTCTATAATGACGCCCATTGGACTACGCCATTGATCTACACTTCTTACCTGCGACTACGACGCGTACCAGTTGATTACTGCTACCGTATTCTACTTGGTTATAGTAGCCAAACCCACTTAGCTACTTCGTTCAAATAAATCCCTTTCCGAGACATATCAATTGGCGACGAGGTTCATAACTTCACAAGTTAAAACAAAAGAAAAAAAAATACAGTCGACAACGTGTACTAATGAAGAACTTTAGAAAAACTTGTTCGACACTTACAGAGAGTAAGTAATTTTTTCACTCATGTTTGTTTTAAGGCTTATTGACGAGGAACGTTAGAAAAACTTGTGAAATGCTTGGAATAAGAATTTTATTGTTTATTGGAGCAGAATTGTTTTCTGGTGAATACGTTGGCAAAATGGAACAAATGGTGGAATTAGCTAAGGTGCTACAAGACACTTTACAGCAACAACTACAAAAATAGCAATTACAGCAACAAGAAAGGTTTGAAAAATTATTCAAACACATGATCTATGACAACAAATGGACCGGGGTCTAAATGTTTTTCGGCTGAAGGAATTTCAAATTCACTCTCGGAATTTAAATACGACCCCGACAGTGGTTCAACGTTTCCGGCTTATTTTCGTAGGTTTGAAACAATTTATTGTTGCAGAAGTTGGGAACAGAAGAAAATACACCAATTTAATCCCCCCCCCAAAGAAGCCAGAAGAAATGACATTCAGCGAAACAGTGGAAATTTTGTCGAAAATTTTCGATAAAAGAGATAGCCTGTTTCATACTCAATACAAGTGTCTGAATATTGTTAAACAAGATGATGATGATTTTGTTACATATGCAGGTATGGTTAATGCACAGTGTGATGTGTTTAAGTTTAAAGCGTCCTCAAGCGACATGTTTAAGTGTCTAATTTTTGTGCAAGGTCTAACAACACCAAGCGACAAAGAAATTAGAGCAAGAATCCTCTTGATCATGGAAAGAGATCCAGAGATTACGTTACAAAAAGTAACTGAAGAATGCCAACGAATGATAAACGTAAAAAAAGACATTACTCGGATTGAGGAGAAGAACATTTCGCAAGTACAAACTGTACGACAAAAGAAGTGGATACAAAAAGAAAGAAAAACAATATGCAGTGCCTGTGGAGGACAGCATTGCAAGACAGATTGCTACTTTAAGGATAAAAAATGTTATAATTGTGGGTGTGTAGGCCATAAAAGTTCACGTTGTCGGACAAAAGAGAGAAATGAAAAAACAAAGTCTCAGGCAAAAGTGAATGTAGTTTTGTCTAAACATGAAATTGAGGAGGGTCAAGAAGAAAATACCTCAATGTAAAATAAATGGGCAGACTGTAAAATTATAACTCGATTCAGGAAGTGATATCTCTGTGATAAACAAGCTAACATGGAAAAAAATTGGTTACCCACCATTGATGAAGACAGACAAAATTGCCAGAGGAGTGTCTCGAAAAAGACTCAAATTTCGAGGTGAATTAAAATGTAACATTTCGTTCACGGGAAAATTTCACAAGTTGAAAGTATATGTGCTCCCTGGTTCAGTAAACCTTTTTGGTACAAACTGGTTAGTATTATTCAATTTGTAAGAATTACCAATAAATTCTTTTTGTAACCAAGTGAACGTCAGAGAAAATTATAAGACAAAGCAAACAGAAAAATTTATTACAGAGTTGAAAAATGAATTCCCTCGTGTTTTTTCAGAAGGACTAGTGTTCCCCCTCACTGGAATATGATTGGCTGGTGTCCATCATAAATATCAAGGGACGTGTAGGTACGAGAGTCAAGAGTCTTAGTCTGATAGCTAAGTCTATAACGACGTCCATTGGACTACGCCATTGATCTACACTTCTTACCTGCGACTATGACGCGTACCAGTCAATTACTGCTCCCGTATTCTACTTGGTTATAGTAGCCAAAACCACTTAGCTACTTCATTCTGATATATCCCTTTCCGGGACATATCAGCAATTTTAGTATTTACCATATTATAATGACAATAGACATAAAAAAATATATTATGTAACTGTCTAGTACACTTTTCTTTGTCTCTAACAAAATTTTCCTGTTTCTTAATATTTTACTTAGCTTTTGGAAGGCATCTTTTGCTATACCAATGGCACCTTTGGATTTTAGTATCTCAGGCTAAGAAATGATTAAAAGTAACTTTTATACTAGAAGAGAATCATAAAAGTTGACATATGCTTGTAAAATTTACAAGTATCTAGCAATGACATATGGAGATTACTGTGGTGCACTCTTTGGAAAAATTTTTTTATTATTATATTTATTTTGTTCAAAATGTTGTTTGAATTAATTTGAAACAACACATGAAATTGCCAAATTAAGTTTTCAAGCTAAATGCAGAGAAACATGAAATCCTTTGACAACAGTCTACATGCTCACTCAATTATTTATGGTCTAGAAAAAATTCTTGGAAATAAAGCTTGATAAATTACTTTATTAAATACACATGAAAGAAAAATAGAGAAAAAAAACAAGAAAAAGAAAAAACAGAAAAAGAAAAAAAAAGAAAAGAGAAGAAAAAGAACCAAAAGAAAAGAAAACAACAAAAAGAAAAGAAAACAAAGAAAAAAGAAGAAAACAACGAAGAAAAAAACCTTGATCGTTGTTTTCGTGTTTATGTCATAAAGAATTTTGCATTTCATTACAATCATGAGTGGAAAAACCATTAAGTAGGTAATTAATTACTAATTATTTAGACGGGGAAACTCAAGAGGCGGTGATCTTCAATATATTGACATGTGTTAATTAAATTAATAATTATATTTTTAGTTTACAGCTTTACACTTTTACAGGCATTATTTGTACACTACACACAACCCAAAAACTATGAAATCAAAATAAAGCCACGTGTTTACGGACGAGAATAAAAGAAACGTGTGGCATACGGCCACATCACGTTGAAACAATGATTCCTGTACGATCACCGAAGGTAAGCAACACCGAGCCTGGTCAGTATGGGCGATCGCTTAGGAATACCAGGTACTGTAAGCTTGGATGTGTGGATGGTAATGAATAAAGAAAGAATAATGAATTGTCAATCGGAGAGCCGAGTTCCAAGTCCTCTTGGGTTCGCCATGACCAATTTTTTCACTTACGCGGAAATACCCTCCTTGCAAAAGGTATGAATTCATCGTTTCTCCCCCTAGCTATAGGTTAATTAGTAAGACTTAAACCATTATTCTCTAAAAAACAAAAAAATAAAATAAAAAAATAATAATTCTTACAAGCTAAAAATATTTTCGGTAGATTGTTGTTAGAGGTACCCCGTTTCAGAATTCCATAGTGATGGATGGACCGCTTATAATGGGTTAGCTGTACATGGGTTTCAGCATTTGTAGCAAGTTTGAAAAAAAAAGATTAGGCGATTTAGATTCTCCAAGGAGTCCTACTTTTAACGGGTAAAAAAATTCAGGAAACAAAGGTTTTTTTCCCCGAAATTTCATGAAATTAAGCAAGTAAAAAAAAAAAAAAAAAAAAAAAAAAATTTACCAAAGTTTTCTAAAAAGAAAAGAAATTAAAAAAATAATTTCATTCATTTGTGAATAAGTCCTGAAAATTTCATTAAAACCGGACAATTATTTGATTTTTACAAGAATTTCCAAAAGATGTGTTTTCAACGGAAAAAAGCGCAAAAAAGTCCATTTTATTTTCATGCCACCGCTATGACGTAAACGAAACAAGTGACATTTCGAAGGTTTTAGAAAGGATTAAAAAAAAATTCAAAAAATAATTACAAAATACTTTGGTGTTTCATCTTAATAACAAACATTTTGACGATAATAGTTTATTTTTATGAAGTTTGTGGCCTTTTTCATCATGCTATGTTGTTTTCCCGCGAAAAAGTGGAGGTACCTAATTGGTTGTCAACCATAATCAGAATTTTTCTGACCCAATGATGGGGGCCTGTATTAATCATGGAATCAAGAAACGCCTAAAAGAAAACTGATGCTTCAAAAGGTGATATGAATGAAATGGTCACACCTGAGGCAATTTATAGAGATATCTTTTAAGTTCAAGGTGTAATGTTTGGGAGAATATAGACACTTTTTTTAAACATGTATCATTGCAATACACATTTTACTTGGTTTTAAATTAATACTGCCACATGAATGCACTCGAATTAAATTTTAAGGAGGTGGGTGCGTCTAACAACATTCCGCTATATTTTCTGGCTTTAAATAACCTGCAAAGGGTTGACAAACCGAAGAAAACGAATCAATGAAAAAAAAAAAAAAAAAAATCCCAGCCTCTTATCTTAAAAAGTGGGCAAAATCCCAAACTCATTTAAAAAATCTCATTTTAACATTAAAATTTCAAGGAACTTTTAATTCAAATTTTATTGTCAAATTGAGACAATAATAAATAAATATCCAATATATGAAGTTGTCTACAAGAAAGAAAGAAAGAAAGATCTATTTCTGTCACGTACTTCATGGGTCCGCATCGAAATTCATTGTAAAAATCGACCCAAACCGTAAAGGACGTTTTCTAACAATGCCAGTCACATATTCGATATATTTCATATTTAGTGAGTCCTAGTATTCCAGAAGACCCGACTTTATTTGAACAAAGTCATAAAAAGGGGCCTTTTTAAGGTTTGCAACAAAACGTAAACAAACAATGAAGTTTTGACAACGTTGATCGTCTATATACGAAGATTTTGCTTTAAGGGCTTTAAAAAGTTTTTAAGGTTTCGTTTGCAAAATTGCATATCATTATTAATTTCTCAATTTAACATTAAAATCAGAATTAAAAGTCCCTTGAATTTTCATTCAGTGTTTTGTTTTTTAAATTTTATTTATGAGGCTTCTTTTTATTTTTTAAAATTTGTTTCTGAGATCGGGACTTTAGTTTTGTCCAATTGGGTTTTTTTTGTCATGGATTCACGGACAAAAATGTAAACTTTACAAAACTATTTTTTAAAAAATCGCTTTAGGTTTGGTCTAACTGAAAATAATGAACTTTTTGTTGTATGAAATTGCATTCTTATTGTTGCAGTTAATATAGTAATGTGAAATATGTTTAAAAAATAAAATAAAATAAAATAATTGTAATTTCTGGTCGAAGTGCCTATTGTCACCCTCAAAAGTTAAAATTCTAGGAAACCTTTTTTGAAAAATGTTCTTGGACCGACCAAGATCTTTTACTAACATCTCATAAAAAGATTTTTTCTTTATTGGTTTCAAAGTAAAAAGAAAAAGTAAAAAAAAAAAAATAAAAAAAATCTTTAGTTTTCAAACGATTTTTCAAGCGTTTGCCAATATTTAAAATTGGACATTTAAGGAAGAATAGAACACAGAATAAGCAGATATTCATTTGTGTATTGATTTTTAAATGCCACATACAAGAAATAATTTTATTTTCGACAGCACCAAAATATACGATCATAAAAAAAACAAGAAGAAAAAATTCGTATCTTAAATCTTAAGTCAAAGAAAAATGCATTTGAATAAGTGAAGAAGTAAAAAAATTGAAGCATAAAAATTGCCATTGATGAAAAAAAAAAAAAAAAAAAAGAAAAGTAATGGACGTTTCAAGAAAAATACTGTAAAATAAAAAAAAATCATTTAAAAACATACCTCATTGTATGCTATAAACTGTTTGTGGAAACATCAGGTATAATTTAAACATAATCCAGTATTTATTTTTCCCCCCAAAAAAACATTTTTTTTTAGTTACCATTTAGACATCTTGAAAAAAACAAAAAAAAACACCAGATCTGATGCGAAATACGCATGCGCGTTAATTTTGAGAAGACCTGGTTTTCAAAATGGTTGGGACTTTAGAAAATTTTTTTTTTTTTAACTAATATTTAATTAAAAAAAAAAAAAAAAAAAAAATCTCCTGCAATTATATTTCTAGTTTCTATGGTGGCTACACACTTAAACAACATGAGCTAACCTCTGTTGGTTTATTTATATATTTTCTTTTAATTAGTGCTTTCTGGCTTTCAAAAGTTCCTGCATACAAAGTGGGTTTTTAATTTAATTATATATTATTAATTTCCGTACTTCTTAAGCATCTATTAACTATAATCTAACCACACTAATTAATATACTAGTTTAAACTCAGCATAAAAACCTACCTCAAATTACAATGCCATACAAAATTTTCAACTCTTTGATATAATTTTTTTATTGAAAGTAATTAATAATTCTAAATTGCATCAAGTAATTTATTATAAAAGATTAAACACTGGGATGATTTCCTACAACAAACAAAAATATTAATGTTTGTTCAGTCTCAAATTGTGGCATTTATTTTTGTGATCTTTTGAAGCATTTCTAAGCGTAAATAATTGCAATCATATTGTGGAGAATTAAATGAAAACTTTCTGTAGAATATTTAATGAAGGAATGCATTTCACCCATTCTGATTTACTTCTGATGCTATGAGAAGGTTCTGAAAAGTTCTTGTTCCGACCAAGAAGACATGAACATGTCTGTCTTTTAACCTCAAATTTTGGGAACTGGGGTTATCCAAGAGCTTTTCAATGTGTCTTCCTATATTAAACTTAGGACTCCATTATTATTATTATTATTATTTTTTTTTATATACAATTCTTTTGGTAATTGGGGGTCCTGTTTTACAAAAAAAAAAAAAAATTAATGATTTAAATTCTCCAAGGACTTCTGCTTATAATTAATATAAACATTAAGCTTGATGAAAATAAATTTCTCAAAATTTCATAAATTAAATAAGTGGGTTGGTGGGAGTAATATGTAAAGAAAATATATATTTTTAACCAAAACTTTCTAAAAACAGAGGCATTTCTAAAATAATTTAATTTGCTTGTGAATAAATCCTGAAAGTTTCATTAAAATCTGAGAAATTGGTATTTAAAAGGTAACCAAAAGAGTCCTTGTCATTTCTGTTTTACTGGGGGGGGGGAGGTATACATCAAATTTGACATAGCGCTAGTCTTCAAAGTAATCCCCATCAGCATCCAGAACTTTTTGCCAACATGCCTCTAGCTGCACAAGGCTCTGGCAGTAAAAATCTTGGACACAAAGAAGTCTATGAGTGCCTGCCACAAGTCTAACTGGTTTGTGAAAGTTTTCCCATGAAGGTGGTGGTCCAAGGAATGGAAGAGGTGGTAATGTGTTGGTGCAGGGTCCCGGGAGTAAAGTGGATGGCACAGTGTCTCCCAGCCAAGTTGCTATATGGCATCTCTGGCCACCCATACCACATTGCTTGGGTGTAGAGGTGGTCTTGTGGTGTGAAGCACAGGGTCTCTTGGTAACAACCAATGCCTGGCAACTTGGGAATGTCATACAAGACCTACTGGTGAGCACTCGATCAAATACGGGTATTTTGCGTTGCTGGGAAAGCAATGAGAAACAAGTTCACTCATTGTTGCTTTTTGGCTTCTGACAGTCTGTGGAGTACCCACTTACTCAACTTGTATACCTTCCCTATGTGGTGCAGGTGAAGTAAGAAACCCTGGAAGCGTTCAGCAAGCTCATTACAAGTTTGGCTGTTGTCTTCCTCCTCTATGGCTGCCTTCAGAGCCTCATCACTCAGAACTTGTGGCTGGCCACTGTGGAGTTCAACAAAAAGGGACAGATCCCCTGACCTGAACTTCTGGAATCAATGCCCGGCAGTGTATTCCCTCACAGAACTATGCCTAAAGGCTTGACCT